TGCCTTGAATTCATACCAGATCAGAATTAGACTGCATCCAGGACTAGCTGGATTTATACCTTTATAGCAATAATTCCCTGCATGTATTTTCATATGAATAAGAAGAGAACTTAGTTTTCTAGATCTTGTTTTTAAAGTCAGGCTTGTTTCTTTTAGCATCTTGCAATATCCCCAAATGCATTTTAAGGCATTTCTAGATGTTGTAACAGATTTGCAATGGCAGCATGGAGTATTCAGTTTTGAACAGATTAAAAAACTGTATGAAAACCTCAATTCTGTTCTTCTACTTTGTAAAAAGAAGTACTAATTAAATTAAGTGACATTCTTCTACAAGACGCAACTAACGTGTAATGGTTGTGTTAGAAGGCATCCTTCTACTTTCAAATGGTATATTGTGTGCAAGTTGACCACATGTAGGAATGAAGTGTCCATGGCCAAATTAACTGATAAACATTTCAAAGAAAATTTTCATAGCTGTTTATGCTGCCACCATCCACACTTTTGGGGTTGAAGTTGCTTAGGATTGCATGAAAAAACCTCTTGGCAGTTTAATTTGGATATCATGGTGAAAGCAAAATCAAAGATTTTGTTCTTAAATGACTATAAAATTAATCATCAGCTGTCAGCAGAAGGGATGCTGAAAAGAACAGTGCTGATATTTTCTCCGATATGATCCTTGAACATTGAACTACAGTGCTCAAATCTATACTGTAATCATGCACTGCAGGGTTACCATATGACTATTGTCAACAGCTGTAGTCCAAGAAAGAAGACTGTTTAGTGCTGCAGTTCCTAGATCATTATCTTAAGGCAAGTAGCAAGATACAATAAAGTAAGTTCCAGAGAATTTATGACTCCTCCTTTGTCACTTACTGCCGAAATCTTCTTGTATGACTTGTTATGTCAAGATAAATGAAATTGTCTTTAAATCAGAAATATCAATGCCCAATAAGGGAAAAATCTATGGAAATTTATCATATTTATGAGTCTAAATTCTTCTTGATTGTCTTGTGAAACTTGTTGAATAGAAGACTACTTCTCAATACACCTCCCTATTTAACTGTTTACTATGGATGGTGCAAATGTTAAGAAATGAACTATAGAGTAAAATGCTTTCTCAGAAATGAATTACCTTTTTTCCCCAAAGTTGTGCCCCAACTTAAAGATTTTTTTCTAAATATCAGAATGAAATAATTTTTATAAATATACTAATGCTATAGTATCTATTTTTCTTTAAGGATACTTTTAGATAAAATTAATATCTTGAATACATTATGACTCACTGCAGATTTTCAGTACTGATAATATGCTTTTGTTAACCCGTGATTCTTGGAATACCGGAAAAATGCACACACAAAAAATAATCTTGTGACACTGAAGTAATTTCCCAACATGAGACATAATTCATTTTCTAATGTGATATTTAAAAAAAAACAGTGAGTAGGGCAGCAGAATTTTCTGGAACGAATCTGAGCATTCAGTCTGTTGATCAGATCTGGTACTTAATTGTCAGTAATAAAACAGTTCTTTTGTCACACAAATAACTAACCTCAAGTGAATTGATTAAGGAAAAAAAAAGTTTTTTCTGAAGTGCTAAAGAAGTATCACAGGACAAGACCTATTTATCATCTCTTTCAAAAACGGTACTTCAAACCATCTAGTCACCATGGTCCATCAAGATTTTTTTAAACCAAGATATCTAGGAAAACACCCAGATTCAAATGTTTGATGGGTACAATCTAATCTGTAGATTAGGTACAATCTAATCTGTAGACAGGCATGTATTACACAGCACTGCATTTTCACACACATTATGTCCAAAGATCTGTGTTTAACTCAAATGTATCTTTTATATGAGCAAAACCATGTCAGTTTTCTCTCAATATAGTGCAAGGAAATTATTTTCCATGGACTGTAAATATGCAGAAAAGGAGGTTTGGAGTTGCTTGAAGATACTGTATATTGTACAGGTACCCCCTTTGCCAGTCAGGCCTCCCCTACCCACAGCTGCTATGATTACTCTGCTGCTTCTCTGCTACTTTAATAGGGAAGGGTGTCTAGTACTTCAGTAAATATCCAAACTGTCCTGTTTGGGGAGAGAAGGTCATGGAATGGCTTTGTTGTTCTCTCTTGTTTCCTCCAGCTTCTTGGGGAAACGAAGCTTGATCATTTCAACACTATGGCAGGTTTTTTGGAGTATTTGGAGATAGAAAAGTTTCCATGTGAAGTTATCAAAATTACAAATACCATACATATACATGACTTAGAATTTAATTGCATTGAATAAAGGCACAAAAATAAAAAGCCAAAATAAAAAGCTACAGTATATAGAGATTTTCTGTTCTCCAAATGTGCAATCATGAACATGTGATGTAAAATATTTCAGCATAAAGGAAAATGAGTTTAGGAACAATTCACAAAACAGTTTGGACATTCTAGTGTGAATAACAGAAGAAATCCATCCAATTCCCAAGTATGCTTCTTTTTTAAAGCTTTTTAAAGAATCCAATTTTTGAAAGTTTACAGAAATTCTAGCTTTACTGCAGCAAGCCTTGGATTTCATAATACTTACATAAAAAATTCTCAGAGACCTTTCACAAATTTATATCTAACATGCCTTTAAGTCAAGGATTACTGTCCAATTCTCTTTGGCTTACTTAGGACCCTTAACAAAACATATTATTTGATTCTTCAAAGCAAGGTCCCTTCCTGACAGCAAAATTCTATTTTGCTGTCATAAACGATTACAAATATACATCTATGAAAACATTCCCAATTTCAGGGGCATAATCTATTTTAGAGAGTAAATCACGGAGACATCTGCATCCCTCGGGCAGCCAAAATACACAGGTCAGATTTACGAGATTTCACATTGAATTCCCCAGACTTAAAGAAAAATGTAGACATCTACCCTGTTTCCTAGGAAAACAAATAAGAAAAAAAGGGCATTTGAAGAAAACAAGGTATTTGTTTTATTCTATTGTTGTTGACTCTCCAGTTTCAGCTAAGTTCTTTGCCATTCTCTAAGCGAACACCATTAATAAACAAAAAACCTGTAACTCTTTAGGTGGTGACAACAGTCTTTACTCAGGGTATCACACTGAGATTTCATTTAAGGCTAAATCTGAAATTTTTCTTCACAAGAGAAGTATGACTTATGTAAGTGTAATTGTGCTTCTGAATAAGAACGTTCAGTCTTTGCGTTCTTTCTTTCATAGGTTTGCCATCCCCACTAGCATAAATTCCTTACGTAAAACAAATAAGATGCATTTTTTATGAGTTAATCTGTATTGAGCCAGAACATTAGGAAAGCACAACTGCATAAGTTATTCCTCTATCAGAGGCAAATAATACTGCACAGAAAACTCTACTAGCTTGAGCTAAGAATAATAAATAAGAAAACTTTGAACCAAAATGTAGCAGTATAGAAAACTAAGAAAAGGCAGCACCAGCACTACAGAAACAGCATTTAGAAATATCTTTCTACCCCAGTCCCTTTCATTGGCTTCATAAATTCCTACCTGGAATACTCTGATTTGCTGAAGATTTAGTGTGCTCTTCCAGTTGTTTGTTTCCAGGAATGATGGGGGGACTGAACATGTTCAACCAGTCCCTGAAAAATACAAATCAAAATACCATTCATAAAAGCACAGTTTATGTTCCTATTTGTTCTAATTCTTTCGATTATTAAAAAAAATTTCAAAGGAAATTTCAGATTGTTGAGTGTGATGAAACAAAATCAAGCCAGATTTTGTTATTATAAAAATAAACTTTACAGTTCATACAATTCTTAAATGTTAAGGCTGGCTTCCTTCCTTCCTTCCTTAGCCTTTCCACCTGTTCTGTTCATGCTAAAAATCTGTGCTTTAAGTCAGGTTTGTTTTGCAGATTTCAGCTGGTATTGCTCTCTCAGCGAAAGGTGTACATGAAGCGTGATCCATAATCCACAGAGCTATACTCTGAAAGCCTACAGGACTCATGAGAGTCTTTTTCTGAGGAATAAAGACTTGGGATGAACAACGTATGTTTGATGAGACTGTGGGGGTCAATTTGATTAAAAATCCTTACCCTCTCTAAGGAACAAGGTTTAAAGACAATCACAAGAGATGGGTTTGCTTACCACTGACTTGGCACTGCTTGGAGCCCCCTGTAATAGGGCGACAGCAAGTGCTGTTATCTTTCACAGTCTGGATGGCTGGTGAGTTAGAGCTGAGCTTAGACATAAGATGGATGCCACCAACAGTGTGATACCAACTCAGTGCTCATGAACTGTGGGACAGCTGACAGGGATGGAATTAGTGATCAGAGCTAAGAATAACATACTAACAGTTTTTTAGTGTTTTTAAGAAGGAAACATTGGATTGAGTCAGGGTCTTATTGTTGATAGAATTGTTGATATTGAAAAAAAACTTTGTTAGTTAAATACGTTATGAACAATTGTTTGTAACAATTTTTTATTGCTATAAAATGTTACATGTTATAAATAAAAAATTTATTACTGAGTGTAACATGATTTTAGCTACTGGCAAGACTATACAAAGGACTCTTCTCATCACGGCTGTCATATCTATTTTGCTTCTGTAAAAAAGAAGTTTTGATGGGATCTTTATCATAGAAGTGGGAGTACAGACTTTCTTCACCTATTCAATTGAATGAGCAATTCATGCCTCTCCCAAACACTACTTTGTGATAGCTTTTAAAGATGATTTTCATGTTAGCATACATTCATGTGAAGTTCAATGTTCATTTCACATGTGCCACTTTATGACACACTCTCTTTGATTGTTACAGCTCAAAGAAAGGAAAACAGAACAGTAATTTTTATTATTATTGTATTTTATTGCAAACTGAAATGCAGACGTTTACTGAAAAAGTGGGTAGGAAACACAAGAATGAGAGGTCACTCATATCACAGTATCAATCAGAGAAAGATAGCCCTGGAAGGACACATCTAAGTCACAAACTCCAGACATTGCTTGTGCAGGTAACCATGTCTTGTAATTCTCTTCATATATGAAACTAATCTCTGTGCACTGTGCATAGCTGATGCTTCCTTAAGTTCCCATCTCTCCAACAGTAAAGAGCTGTAATACATTAAAGCTTCCATATAACCATTAACTAGACTAAATAACTGCAAATTAACACTTGAACACAGAATTCAAGGGACCTCAGTAAATCGTCTCATTTTGATAGAACCAGATCCATCCTTTTTGACTGACCTATTTCACTGCAAGGCAAGGGGAATAGAAGGGAAAGGGGTCTTTAAATTCCCTTATGTTTGCTTCATCCTGGGGGAAACAGAGCAGCTCTACCAAGTAAATTAAACTTGGTTTGGGGTTGATTCAACTTATGTCTGGCCATGGCTGTTCCAACAGCTGGCACAAAAGCATTATGCATGCAAACTTGTGGTGCTAGAGGCCAGGAAGATTAGTCAGTGCTGTAGAGGTAACTTCAACATCCATGGCTTCCTCTAGAAGGGATGACATTTTCCAAAGTTTGACAGTTTCTTTACATTGCCAGACTGTAATTGTCTCAACTCAATTGTCCAACACCAAGTAAACAGGTAATGTACTTCTGCTTTCTGAAAAGCCTTGATGATCTCATGTAAGATTTGCTTCTGACAGAGAAAACTGGCAAGGCTCACTCATGTGTTATAATTGCTAAAATATGCCAATTGCTTTTTTTTTCTTGTTAGTTTTTCTGCTACTTCTAGACTTGTTATTGATTCCACATCACCTCCTGTTGGCATGTACGCATAATCTGGGGTGAATCAGGGGACAACCACCTATCTGTTTGCAGTCAAAATGGAAAAAACTAATTTTCTGCCTCAGGAAACAGAACTGCTGGTGTAGAAATCCAGCAAGTAGTATAGCAGATTTAAAGGAAGAGATATTGAATTTTCCATCATTTCAATATGTAAAAAACATACTTCAAATTTTTTTATACCATCATATTATTTTCACATATATGGCCAACTTCACAAGCAACCCTCCTCTTCTGATGTTCAGCTAATGCCAGTGAGAACTGGTACAACTAATCCACACAGCAATATGCTTGCCTAGACATCTCATTATTAGCGCGCTCTGTCTTTGCTCATCATATTTACATTCCCTGAATACAGCCAAAGACTCTTGGTTTACAGCAAAGCTTCAGAAGTTTTTAGGAGTAACAGTTAAATGCATGCTATGATATCCAATGGCATGGTAGAATATATTTTCCATTTCTGCCAGTTGCATGTGTGGTTTGTGCTGCCTCAGAATCAGCCAATGTATAAGCCTAACATTAGAACCTGACCATGCTCAGAGGATGTGGTCAGAGAGCGTAAAGCATTATCACTTACCTGATTCTCTACAATTGCACTGAAACACAATGTCAGCAAAGGCAATCTCTTGGAGAAACCGTGGCAATTTTAGACAAGGTAAGGAAGAACTATTAGTACTGATCTATATGTCTGCTTCCCAAGCTACCCTTTCTTCCAAATTCACTACAGCTTTTTTAAAAGACAGTGATGTTTGAGATCCAGAGAAGAACTAGAATATTTCTGCTAGGAAGTCTGCTGAAGCAAAAGTGGTGCAAGGACAGAAAAAAGACAGTGCTTGCTTCTAAAGAGAATTATCTCAGTCAGACCAACAAATGTAGTTAGAAAAGTAAAGAACCTTTAGAGTATATATGCAGTTCTACAGGTCTGGCACAAAACAGAAGAGTCTGAAGATAGGTGTTTTTCATATAATATATCTGTCAGATAATTTCTAAAGAAAATAGTTGGTACCTGGAAAGCAGAGAGGATGTTAGTAAGAAGGAAAGAAAGGTAAGGTAATTACCACTAATGGAAAAGAGACAATTCACCTAGAGAACATTGAGGGACGGAGGTAATCGTGTCACTGAACCAGTATTTCTGTTAAATTAATAGTTCTTATTACTAAGGAAATTTATGAATTTGTTTGAAAATTCATCTCTGGAAGGTCTTCCTGAAAGATCAAGGCTGAGAGATCAGAGATGGGACGATTTGTGAGTAGCTGGATGATTTTGTCTTTGATTTTGTCCATTTATTGGAGTCAATTCTCATGTAAAGGAATTGTTCAGTTTCATCCTTATATTTATTTTGATGCATCTGGTTTAGTAGATGAATTATTATTTTCCCTAGTAGGTGCAAGTGTAAGATGTAGGGATTTTGATGGTTCTAAAGGGAGGCAAAGGAGTATATATTTGTGATAGAGGCAACAGAGATGTGTTGGCAAGTTTAATATTTCCTATTAAGACAGTCTAGATTCAGTTCATGTTTTTTTCCTCTCAACGTCCCAGAAAAACTAATAGTTTTGCTATTCAAACCCCTCCCAGCAAGACAAGCAATCAAAACACTACAATATTAGGGATCCATTGTTGACTTAAGATTACTTTTAAGGTTGAAACATTTTAAACAATACATACTAAAGACTGGTTTATTACTTCCACATGTTACTTAGCAATGTCTAAATCAACTTTTCCTAAAATCCTGGTTGGGGGGGAAGGGGGGGCGGATCTCATAAGTGATGAAATCTTCTTGGCCAAATTGCAGTAGAGAGTAAATATGGGCAGCTGATTGATAAACCTTGGAAAAGTAGGATTACAGTAGTAATTCTGATAGATGCTGTAGTCTAGTAGTTAAGACAGTCTTTTCCACAATGAAATCTGCAGCTGCTTTTAGGAAGCAACTAAAGCATGTGTGTATGTGAGAGAGTGTATGAGTTAGTTTAAAAAAAAAAAAATATCCTGAAAAATTTGTAGGCCTTGCCTAAGAGTAGAGCCCAGCATGGAGACAACCAGCAATATTCTGAGAAATGCAGACTGTGGCCTGTGTTCCCATTTGTTGCGTTTTTAGTCTGACTGAAAAAGAGTATTGTTTTGGGAACTTCCTTAAGAAGCTAGTTTATCTCCTTAAAACAGAAAAGCTAATCATGCATCCTGACTAATTAAAGGCACTCTATTTATGCTATCAATGCCTCTAGCTGTAATTAATACAATCAACATGCAATAAACTATGTAGAGCTTCCCTGATAACAATGTGGAATGCTAAGTACTGTCTTTTGACATTGTGAGTTGCATTGTATGAAGGCTCAGAATAGCTTCCACACACGTTCAAAGCATCACACACCTTTAATGACTGCAGTGAAATTCTTCATTATTCTGAAAGTTAGTCTCCATACCAAAATATAATAAAAAATGTTATATAATCTTGTAATATTATGGTCTTTTCTTAAAAAATACTTTCAGAAAATAATTGTTATATATTGAAATATCACATGATAGCTGAAATGTGATGGAAAGCAAAAGAATCTTTTGGACTTATGAACACCATTTTCACTTTTATGACAGTATGTTAAATTTGCAGAAAATGGCATCCTTCAGTAAAATCTGTTGAGAAAATTAGTGATGCTTTATTAAGTAGCACTTATCAATGACAATGTATCAAAATTTTTACCCTCAGTAGAAATCCAAAGAATCAGAGGGTTTTGATTTAAATCTTACTCAACACCTTTGATACTTTGAAGTTTTACAGATGTTTTTGCTTTTTAGTCTATCCTACTGCCTGGACTGAGAAAATGGCAAATCGCTTAGTATAAATAAATAAAGATT